TTTTTTTTTTTTTGTTACTTGAATTAGTTCATTCATTTTTCGTCTAGTAACTTTTGCTGTGTTCGAAACTTTAAATTTTTTTGAATTTTCTGTTCAATACTGTTGTCTGTCCAATTACTGACCAGAAATTGAAAGAAAACTTCATTTGTTAGTATATATTGAAATCTTTTGCTAGAGTAAAACACCGAGGATCACTATTATATAAAAGTGTTTGCTACTTTCTTTGTTGACTTATAGCTGAAATAAACTTGTGAAAAAACCAGGAAATATGATCGGTAAAGGAGGCAGCAGCCGGGTTTACAAAGGTTACCTTCCGGACGGCAAAGAACTCGCCGTGAAGATTTTAAAACCTTCAGAAGATGCCGTAAAAGAGTTTGTTTTAGAAATCGAGATCATTACAGCCTTACACCATAAGAACATCATCTCGCTTTTCGGATTCTGTTATGAGGATAAGAATCTTCTCCTAGTATATGATCTTATATCAAGAGGAAGCCTTGAAGACAATCTTCACGGTACATAACGTTGCAGTATATAATGTTCATTTTCCGGTACATTCTGTTATAATGATTGTTATTTAATTTATTTTTCATTTTTTTTTCTTTGAATTAGGTAATAAAAAGGAACAACAGGCTTTTGGGTGGGAAGAGAGGTTTCGAGTTGCTATCGGTGTAGCTGAGGCTTTGGAATATCTTCACAATCGAGAAGATCAACCCGTAATCCATAGAGACGTTAAGTCATCAAACATACTTTTGTCCGATGATTTTGAGCCACAGGTGATGATGCATTATAATCAGCCGTGCATTTTTCGTGAATTTCTACTCTTTTTAACTTAATATGTTTTTTAACTTATCGTCTTTTTCAGCTTTCTGATTTTGGGCTTGCTAAATGGGCATCAACAACTTCGACTCACATAACTTGCACAGATGTTGCTGGAACTTTCGGGTCAGTAGAATTTGTGCTTAAACAAAACTTAATGCTTTTATAACTAGTGCTAAAAAACTACATTTTGTTTTTTCTTTTCAAGAATTAGATGTTCTGTTAGAAGTAATTACTCTTTTGTCCGGCATTTTTCTTCTGCACAGGTACTTAGCTCCTGAGTATTTCATGTATGGAAAAGTAAACGAGAAAATTGATGTTTATGCATATGGAGTTGTACTTCTGGAACTTTTGTCGGGTAGAAAGCCTATAAGCAGCAACTGCCCGAAAGGCCATGAGAGCCTTGTTATGTGGGTATGTTCTTTGCTCATTGGATTTTATCTGCTTAGTTATGACCACAAAAATCGGAAATCATTTTACTATTTGTTTTATAGGCAAAGCCAATTTTAAATTCCGATAAATTCGCTATTTTGCTGGATCCCGACTTGGGCAGTAGTTATGATCATGAACAAGTGGAGAGGATGGTTTTAGCTGCCTCACTCTGTATCAGACGAGCACCACGAGCTCGACCCCATATGAGCCTCGTAAGTAGTCACTGTAAATTTCTTGATATTTATTGGGTAATTCTCAAAAAAAAAAAAAAAAATGTGTTCTAAATTGTTTAAAGTGTTGGTAATTATCACACTTTATAGTAAAAGTATATGAAAAAAAAAGTTATTTATCGCTAGGTCCGAAAGCTTCTCCAAGGGGATGCGGAAGTGGTCAAGTGGGCTAGAATGCAAGTGAATGCTTGTGAAGGGTCTCGAGTCAAGCTAGACACGAATTCAGTCGAAGTTACTGAATTAGAAGACGAGACGTTTTCAAAATCGAATCTTCAATCCCACTTGAATCTCGCGTTGCTTGGTGTTGACGGGGATTCTGCCTCGATAAGTAGCATCGAGCAAACTGTTTCTTTAGAAGATTATCTCAAAGGTAGATGGAGCCGGTCCTCGAGCTTCGACTAACCGTAAATTCTTGCAAAAAAGTTTGCGAAAACTTCTTCTATTTCGATATATATATATATAATATATATATTATTTTATTTATTCGAAAAGAAAATTTTCTAGTATAGTTGGTTATGGGCTTGGATGTGAGGTTGTGTTGTGATGTGCCCTCCTCCTTTCCCTTTTGTAGTTGTGAAAGGGAAGCCGATTTTTTCGTGCTCGTGCGTGTGTGTTTGCTGCGAAATAGGGTAATATGATTTGTTATATGTACAACGTTAGAGATTTGATGTGTTCGGAAGTGAGGATGCGAATGGCATGTCGTGATAGAATGAAATCCGAATCGACAAAATCGTACATAAATTGTTAAAACATTTGGCATTTTTGATACATATTCATAAAATGGATTGTTAAAGAAGCACATAAATTACTATTTTGCTGTTATAAAATACGGGGAATATAAAGAACACAATGTATAAAAACCGGAACAATTAC